GAACAAGCGAGAAGGCTTGGCCACCCCATCACTCGCTAACGTCCTGAAGACCCAGCATGTTTCGAAACTCCTGCAGACGCCGCCTCACTGTCTGGAAAAGGAGGGTGATGGTGGTGGTTTAAAGCCAAGGGAACACGTGCACGACGGAGTCTCTCAAGGCCACCCATGTGCCAGGAGAAGTTCCCCTCACAGGTCACGCTGGCTCCTGCCTGTCCCACAGAAGTCAGACATTTATTTCCCCAGTTATACGAACAGACCTATAAACACAGTGTCTGTCTAGAGACACAGTGAACTTCTCTTACACACTACCTTCTGGTGTTACTGCATAAGTGCTCCAGCCACTACCTTAGGGGCCACTGTATAGACAGAAAGAAATAGGAACCTGCACAGTAGTTTTAACCCTGGACATACTACAGAATCACCTGAGAAAAATGCTTCCTTTAAAACAAGTGACAGCCCCACCCTACCAGATTCCACAGGTGGGCGTGGGGCTCAGTGAGCAATTTTCAGGATTTTGTGGTGATGATCATGTAAAGCTACGTTGGAAACCAAAAGAGCCATCCCAACTGTTCTGGAGGTAGGACAAGTGCAAAACATCAAACTGTTGTGATAGAGGCTGTTGTCCTACCCTTACTCAACCGTCAGGAGGACTCAGGGCGCAACGAGCTGACAACAGGCTGCAAGTCATCTCAGACCGATGCCTCTCCAGCTGCTGTCACCCCGCTTTATAAAGAGGGGAGTATTTTTAGCACAACTTGTTGCTGGTCAAACTCTATGTCGCTAACAGGACCTTCCGGAAGTTCTTTTTTTTCCATCGAAATTAATCTGTTTTCCATTTCTCCTCCCTTGCTTTCCCCCCCTTTTCTTAAATTAATTCAACTTCCTTCCACAAAGAACTATTTTACAAGCATCTCAAATGAATGCTGTTCCTTCCCCTGCCCAGCCCACCTCCTGGACGTCTCAACAAGTCTGACATTTACATCAGTCCTCGGGGTCTAGGGCAGGAATTAAACTTGCCTAATGCCAAAACAGTCATGAAGACAAATTTAAAACAACCACAGAACTTCCAAATCAAACAAAAAGGCATCAGCACAGAATGCAGTGCAAACCACACTCTGGAGTGACTCGGTCAGGCCGGGTCTGAGCAAGGCTCTCATGAAGCAAGGCCACCAAAGCTCCATGTTTGGTTTGTTTTGGGGGTTAGGGGAAGGTCACATCAGTAGTGTAAATTCAGACTCAAACCTGCACCAGTTAGGGCTTCTGGTGACAAATTCCTGGGAAGACTTTTTCTTTATTTCCACTCTACTCAAAGCCAACACCAAGGCAGGCTCTTAGAAGCTCTCTCCCTGTGGGAATGGCAGTCCCTCTTTCAGCAACAAAATGCCTTTCTCTGGGAGTTCCAGCTCTATCTGGGCAGGGTGTGGAGAGGGCCCATCCATGACTTCCCACCTTAGCTCATTCCAGAGCTTTCTTTCCTGTCGCCAGACTCTAGGCCAAAAAGGTCCGGAACGCCTGCAGGACGAGCTCGCCACCAGGCTCACAGGACCTTTCTACTTCTGGCCTCCAAGAAGCCCTTCCTATGTCCTAAGTCCAGCCACTAAATAAATGAGCTCTGACCGGTTTCTAGCCATCGCCTCCTGGTGGATTGAGGCTGCTCTGCACCGCTAGTCACTGTGTTAAAACAGCGTCCTCAAGGTTTCTTGAACAAGGGTGGAGGGAAAACACTTCATGGTTTCGCAGAAAAGACAGTTGTTCATGACAATTTTAAAAAGAAACCTGGATTAAATTTTAGTTCCTTCACAATAAACTAGGATTAATAATCCCAGAATCTGCCCGGCCGGGCACAGCTCAGTGGTTGAGCATCGACTAGGATCCAGGCAATCGAGGTTCGATTCCCAGTCAGGGCACATGCCTGGGTTGCGGGCTCCATCCCCAGTGGGGTCGTGCAGGAGGCAGCCGATCAATGACTCTCTCATCATTGATGTTTCTCTCTTTCTATCTTTCTCCTTTCCTCTCTCTGAAATCAATAAAGACATATTTCTTTAAAAAAATAAAAAATAATCCCAGAATCCACCCCAGAGAGTAGCATGTGAGGAGGAGGTTATTCCCATTTGAGAGCCACTACTTTTCAGGCTGCAGGAGTGGGACCAATCCTTGAATCCTGTGCCAAAAACAGCTAGATGCCTCCTTCACCATCCCCTGCGAGAGGTCAGGAAATATAACCCTCTTAAGTCTGGTGGGTATTTTCTTTCTCTGTGTGATAACTATGCAGTAGCCCCAAACCCCTCAACCAGGTCCATTTTGTTGCACGTGACTGTGACAAACCCCCCTTCCGATGTAAGATGTATCTGCACTTCATCGCCAATGGCCGTGAGGGAGTTTCCTACACCAGGCCCATGTCTGCCAGCCTTGCAGGTTATTCGTGTTCTCACCTGCACCAACCCCAGTAAGCACACAAGTTCGATCCTGCCCTGAGCACCAGAATCAACATTAACACCTTCACATGGTAACGTGGCCTGTTTTGAGTTCAGCCTTCTACAGGTAAAATGCTTTGGAAATCTCTGATTAAAATTCTCTCTCTGGCCGAACTTGGTTTTGTGGTACCTGAGAAAAGTTCAGTTAGAACTCACAACCTGTTTTTTAAAAGCCTACAGTTTCTGTACCAATTAAACATAATGGCACTTGGCTACATAAGGCCACAGGTGTGGAAGGTATTCAATGAATGTCGTCCAGTGGCACAAACCAGGTTCGCTGGGGGTTCCTGCTTCCCCGGCCAGCTCCACCCTGCAGTGCAGAGGCCACCAGTGATGGTGTCTATCAAGAAACGCTTCAGAACAGCAAACACGCGGAACGTGCCCTCGCCTGAGTTAGGTTCAGGGGCAAGTCTCAGTGTTTAGAATCCTTGCTGCTGTTCTTGAGGCTTCAATATCTCACTGTCGGTGCCCGATTTTCTCTGGAAGAAGCGTCCCTGGTTGTGTGAGTTTCAGGGCCAGTTTCCCTCCTGTTTTCTTCTTGGTGCCTGGAGATGTTCCAACTTGTCAAGGTGCTCTGATATTTCTTCATTCCTTCCAGCTCTTCTCACTGTTGCTTTTCTTCAATCTAAGCCTTTTAACATGCTTTTTAGGTTTGAATAGTTCCTCAGGTTCCCCCTACACCTTGGTTTCCGGTTCCTAGAGCCTCCACCAGCCTCCTCCGGCTGCTCTTCGGGATTCAGGTATTTAAAGTTGCCCACTCCTCACCCCGTTTGTATAGTCCATCAGCTTCCTAACACAACCCTCACTGAAAAAGTGGAACCAGCATCTCCTCCATCCACAACAGACCAGGGTACCTGCTCATGGAGAGGAGATCCCGCCCCTCACCCACCCTGTGCCTCTCTGCAGCTGTGAGATCATGACTTCACTCAAGGGTTTTGGTTCCTGCCTTTCCTTTCAAATCTCTATTGACTCATGAGGGCTCCCAGAACCACCTCCCCTCCTGAAGCAAATCCCGCCATCTGCATTTGTTGCCAAGCCTCCATGAAGGCCACTGTCAGAGTCACTGGTCACTCCAAGGCTTCTTCACAAACAGGCCAACATCTCACGTGACATCTGCATAATTCCTCCTCATACTCCAGTTGTTTCTGCACATCAACACCCCTGGCCCTGGGCTCAGGACTGGCAGACAGTGTGGCTCCACAAGTGTACCTGCTGTGTGTCTGAATAAACAAGGGAGTGAGCACCTCAAGTAGCCGAGGTGAGAAGGTGAGCGGGGCTGTGGAGAGAAAGGCAGAGCAGGCGGCACCAGAGGAGGTGGCCCAGGACATGGCACAGAGAGCCTTGAGGGCAAGCACTCCGGGCAGTGTGGACGGAACATGCTCTCTGCTCAGTCCAGTCCTTCCAGATGCCACCCAAGTGCTCCTCCAGTACACATGCTGACGTTGTCAGACTCTCCCTTTATGCAGCAGCATCCAGGCCCTTGTTACCTGGTCCCACCTGCCTCTCCAACTGGATTCCCCTCTGCAGGCTCCCACCTGCACAAGACACAGCAAATGTGTCCCTTTTTCTGACAGTGTCAAGCCACCTCATCACTGCACCTTTCACACGCTTGGTATGCCTTTCCAACATTTTGCACCCAGCAAACTGCCACCACGTTGCAAGACTCAGCTTCCAATCTTACACGACCTCCCCAGGAACCCGCACACACCCTCTCACACTGTTGTCACACCAGCCTGCATGCACCCTGCACACATCTCTCCTCCCAGGGTGTCAAGGACCTCGGAAGACCTGGTCCTGCCTGATTTCCCTTTCACTCCAACGTCCAGGTGCTCATGGTGCTTGTGTTGATTATGCCACAGTGAGTGGGACCTGAGATGACCTCTGGGATCCCACTGCACTCCCGCATTCCGACTCCACCTGGAAACAGTGCCTCTCACATGTGCTGAGCTGAAAGCCTGCACCACCACCCATCAGGATGTTCACAGATGCCCAGATCCTGATCCCCTTTCCAACCTACAAAAGTAGAAATGGAATTGCCGATCTTGCTGCTGACCTTCCAGCTGGGGAGGGTGCCAGCCACACATCCCATCGTCACTGCTGCCCAAGCACCGCAGCCTGAGGCAGGAGGTGGTGTTATCGTAACATCCATCGGAGGGGTGAGGAACTGAGGCGCGGAGGCATTAAGCTACTTGCCGAAGACAACAAAGTCACGGAGTGCAGGGTGAGCTAGGACTGAACTCAGGCAGCCTGATTTCAAGGCCCTTGGTCTTAGTCCATTTTTCTGCCTCACCAGTGATCTGTTTGATAACTTAAGCTTCCTTCATTGAAGAACATGAACTTTCTCCAGACCCAGGCAAAAAACAGAAAGAGGAGCCAATCTTTCCTCTCCCCTGTCTCTGAGAACAAAACAAATCCGTCTTTCTCTAGTTTATGACTAGAACTAATAAATAATAAAAAATAAAAATAATAAACAACAAGAATTTAAATGTTTAGCATTGATATCAAAACAGGTATCTACACACTCACCTGATGGGTCCAAAGTTCAAGACAACCAGCACCAACAGCACCATCACACAGATGGCTCTTCGCTTCAGACTGGGAACCTTAAGCCTCTGGTTCTAAGAAAATGGCCACATGAATTAAAGTAAATTGCATGTCCACCTCACAAGAAGCAATGTCTAAGACAAGAATGCTCTTCCTCACCAGTTACACAAATGCTTAAACAATAAAACAAAGCTCAGAGGTGAGCCAATGGCACTTTTAAGAGGAAGAGAACAGAGCCTTCTCAGCTCCTCCGGTGCCAACAGCAAGTTTACGTTCTCCCGAAAGGCTCCTGCCATCTGTCCCTGTCCCTGTTCCTGTTTCAGTAACACAAAAGGCCATTCCCGCGGGAACAGGGCAGACGGGATAGGGGCAAGGTAGAGGTGCATTTGGTTCAGGACAGTCCTGCAGGGTTCTGAAAGCACAGGCTTTACGAACAGAACTGAGGTCCACCTGCCTGGACCAGCATGCACCACATGAGCACCAAAGCAGGGGCCAGGCCAGACCCCTGAGCCTCAGGAAGCAGGGAACGGAGACGCTGGTGACTGCAGGCTGGGGACCCTCAGGAGTCCTCCTTCTGGCAGGCGTTTTGGGCTCACCGTGCCCCCTTTCCTAACACTATTATTTTATACAACCAAATCTGAAATTTAAGATTCCCTACCAGCCTTTCAGAAAGAAAGGGCACTGACCCCGAGCCAGCTCCCCACCAGCGCTCACCTCTGACACGACCTGGTCCAGCTGCCGCCTCAGCGACCCGTTCTCCTGCCTCAGCTTCTCGTTCTCGGACAGGGCGGCCTCCAGCCGCGCCTCCAGCCCCAGCATGTACTCCTTCTTCTTCCTGCGGGACTGGCAGGCCGACTCCCGGTTCTTGATCATCCGCTGCTGCCTCCTCAGCACGGCCACCTGGCAAGAGTGGCGCGGAGTGAGGTGTCTGGTCCAGAGCCCACCAGGTCAGAGAACACTGACTTTCACAATTGCTTTTAAACAGTTATTCAAAACATACATTGCTGGTTGTGTCAAAACAGGTTTTTAAAAATATACTCAAACTGAAGTCCAATGATTCAATAAGGGCTCTCAAACCTAAATGTTCTGTGACTTCCTCTCCTGTTTCTAGGCTTTGCTGCTCTTCCAGCTTCCCGAGAGGACAGTCTCAGAGCCCGCCTGGTGGCACCTGAACGCCACACACCGCCAGATGTCTCTGAAGAAACTATTTTCTGGGACCACACACCCGACCACGCCTAAGGCCACTCGACTGTGGAGCCACCACCGCTTCAGACTCACGTGCAAACCACACTCATGTCCCCTCTCCCTGGGTTTTTCCCTCTCCATCTCCTGTGGGGGGCACGAGCCTCACAGTACACACTGAGGAGCACGCACTCGCTCACCTCCTGCCGCTCTCCGCTCTGACGCCCTCTGACCTCCCCCTCCGGCCCATTGCCCCTGCTCTCCTCCCACAGGCTCAGAGCCCATCCCTAAACTTTTGCAGCAGCCTCCTGCCATTCCAACTGCAGGAATCTCTTCCTGTCTACCACAGCTAAGAAAACTTCCCCCAAAAAACCTTCCCATGTTGCTGTATTGGAGATAAAAAGCCACCACCTCAGCTCTCGAGGCCTTCCAGGCCATGGCCACTCCACTGACCCAAACCTTCTGCTCTAACCCCCAACCCACATCTTATAAAGGACTACCCGTGACCTCCACACACGCCTAACTCATCCCAGCGTTTACACCACATACTCCGTGTCATTGCGGCTCCTCCACACGCCTAATTATAAGGCCCTGCTAAACTACTGGGTGTTTTGATTTTCTCTGAATTTCTTATGCCCTTATAATCTTGAAGATACACCTCAACACTCTCATGGTCTCCACTGTTTCATGATGTTAACTCTCCCTCCACCTAGATTTTGTACCAAAACCATGTGATACTACTTTTCCTGTACTGCCCATGATACTATTACAGTGAAACTTACTGGGCACAATTTGTTCTGTTGTGTCTTCTAAACTAAGGTATGGACCCTACTTGTTACAGCATGAGTCTGACTTATTTTGAGGAGGGGGTGAGGTAGCAAAATGTCGGCCATAAGAAGCACCAAATAATATTAAGTTGGTTATTTTAAGTACACACAAGACTGAATTACTGATTTCTATAAGTAATGACTTTGAAAAATAAACATTCTACAGTGGGGTGTTCAATAACTCTTAATGAGACCAGTAAATGAAGTTAAACAACTTAATATGGATTTTTACATTACAGCACAATTCCCACCCCATATGACACTTCACAGAAACAGCTATACCAAAGCCAACCAAGTAATCTCAGCACCAAATACTGTCAACAACCTTCACTCAGAATCCAGAGGAAAAGAAACATCACATGAAGTATCAGAAAAGGGTGGTTTTTCCATTTTTTACCCTTTTGCTGACTGACAAAACCATCATCTATGAAATTTCCCTATGGAGTAACTACCCCACCCTTCAGTAACATGCACATACACTCATGAACACACATGCACATGCATGTGCACACACGCAATCGCATGCACAAATGCACAAACAGGAAGCGTGCACACATACAGCAGGCACACATGCACAGCAGACGCACATGCGTACGCAGCAGGCACACATGCAGCAGATGCAGACGCATGCATGGCAGGCACACACACGCACAGCAGGCACACACACATGCAACAGATGCACACGCATGTGCAGCAGATGCACATGCACATGCAGCAGGCACACACACACGTGCGCACACGCTACAGCCAGGATGCAGGGGCTGCTCCCGATGTCAAGCTCTTCTCTGGACAGTGCCACTTTGTTCCATCGACTGCTGCTGTTTGTAACCTGCCTGGTTAAGAGAATGTCCATACTAACACTTATTCCCAGAGCACCCATGTGCACAGCACACTGGATAGGACAAACAAGAAGGAGACTTATATATGAGTTAGACAAAAGCAAACTTACTTTAACAGCCAATTATCTATGGAATTTGAGAGGCTTACAGATGACACACCACTTAATAAATTTCAAACAAGGACTGGGGATTTCTATAAAAATGAGAGCACCTGCACATTGCACAGCGTTAAAGTTTCAAAGGCTGTCAACGCACACACCTCATACCAAACAATGAAAACCACCTGTGGCCAAGCATTCATTTCTCCCCATGGAAAAGATACAATATAACAGTGCTGAAAATAAAGTGAATACTCAAAACTATCAGTAAATACAAAGGATGAAGAAAGTGAAAATAACTGGAGCTCACAGGAATCACAGAGTTCCAACTTTACTCTCAGCAAGCTGCCTTCAGCCATCTGAATTTATATTTTAATTATTATTTCCTAGGCAAAAAAATTATGATGTTCAGACTAACCATACATGCCCACACAGTGTGCATGACACTTGGGAGACACAGACTTCCCTTAGAACTCAACAGTCAAGGCGGCGAGAGCCACAGAAAACCTGTCACACTGCTGATCCCCGAGTATCACTCTTTAACAGCTTTAACCAACCCAAAGTTCTCTTCTGTTCACAAGTAATATTCTTCCACATATCTGTAAAATAGCAGCTTTCAGAGGGCACACCCTTCCAGAATACACAGCATTGATACTCCCACTGAAGAAACCTGCCGTTCCCTTCTGTGAACTATCTATGCAGACAGCACTTTGTCTATCTGATTGCTGGGTCAACTCGCATTTTTCTCAATGACTTGTAAATACTCTTTATATATTAAAAATGGTTATAAAAAACTATGAAAACTTGTACATGAAAGTTCACAGCAGCATTACACAGCGTCTGCAGGGGCTGGTTACAAAAGAGAATTCAAAGAACAGAGAGAAGTATTTATTAAGATATAAATCAGCATGTCCTTAAAAAAATAGCTATTTTTAACCTTATCAAGATGCTGAACTGAAAAATACAGAATAAAGTGGCCACAACATAACCCTAACCTAATGCAGTACACATCAGGAGAAAACACCTTCTACCCGCATCCCTTTCAAAGATGCTGTAACCACAAATCAAACTTCTAGCCAAAATTCTTGTTCAAGATAAATTTTGAGAAGCCCCAAACCTCCACCTAAGGAGAAACTGAAAATATTTTAACACAGCATGTTTTTCCCCTGGTAGCAGGAAAGCCAAAAGGTAGTCAGCACAAAAGTAATTTTTTACTAGGATCGGGATGGCTTTTCAGATCTCCAAATCCTTCCTGTTGCATTTGTTCTTATGGATCCCTCTACTTTACAGCCTAAAGAAATATCATAATTTCTGTGTCTTTTTGTTAAAGAGTTTACTTAATGAAAGGTAGCATTCACTGTTTATCTCCTTAGCACTAAGCTAGCCACACAGTCTAGGAGAGTCGGCCCACACCCTGGCCTAAGAGGGGACCTAGTCTAGTTCATCCAGCTGCAATGTCCGTAGAGCTGCACCTTGTTTCTGGAACAGGACCTGTTCCAGGAGTTTGATTTGTGGTTACAGCATCTTTGAAAGGGATGCGGGTAGAAGGTGTTTTCTCCTGATGTACTGCATTAGGTTAGGGTTAGGCTGTGGCCACTTTATTCTGTTCTTCCAGGAGCTTCTTTGCTTTGCATTGAAAACAGGTTATTTTACACCCACATTTCTCTTGAAAGGCTCTCTTGTGGGTCTCTGGAGATTTGTGCTACACTACAGGTCTTCGTGGGTAAATGAAGGACAGAGGCCCTGCCCCTCTACCTAAGCCATCTCTCAGGGTTGGGTGGGTCTCCAGCAAGAAATGCTGAGAGATGAGGTAGTGGCTCCCTTGGGACAGTGGGGAGGCTTGGTTCCTGCTTCCTATAAGAGCAGCAGGTTCCCCAGCTCAGCACTCCTCTCCCAACATCCAGCTGGGCCACATCCGTCCTCCACACTCACAGCATTGATGTACCTGAAATCTTGAACTTCATTGTACAACACTGGCCCCGGAAAAAGAAATACAAAGCTCCAGTCTGTTATGCCAGGGGAGTCCCCTTCACACCATGTCCACACCTATGGGCACCCAGCTCCTCGTGATGACTCTGGTGACCCAGCACAGGGACTCCTAAATGTGGGGACTGGGATGGGAAGGGCCCAGGTCACTGGGTAAAGAATTAGAAGGCGGTGCAAGGTAAGACATGCTCTGGAAGATGAGCTGAGAGGAAGGCCGGGGCCTCCTGTCAGGGCAGCTGTCATCCTTAGTCCATGACCCTCTGAGGCTGTTGAGTCATTTCTTTCTGTTCCCACACTCTGATGCCCAAGAAGGGTTCTGTGCCCCCTTGGCCCACTGAGGGAGATGTACAATATAATTTCACCACTCTTTTTCCTGGTCGTTTGTCCCAATAATCAAAACAATGTAACTTCATAACCATAAGCCAAGGCCATAGTCTCGTGAACTTCATGAGTTATAAGGGAAAGGGTGGAGGTGAGGGAGGAGGTGCCCTGCAGGTGGAAACAGGCGCCAGTTTGCAAGCTTGGTCCAGGTCTGGCAACACTCAGTAGCCCTTTGAAGCCAGATGATCAAGCTCTCCTGGGAAGGCACCCCTGCCACTGACTCGGAGCATGCCTGGGAGCTCCCCTCCGAGACGAGGGAGCTGTTCACTTTTTCCATCAGAATCAGAGCCAAAAACCAACCATATTTCTTGAAAACTTAGGTGAGGTTTCCAGACAAACAGAACAGATTTACCAGCAATAGGCAGGAAGAAAGAGATTATAATTTGAACCAGGCAACCATTTCACGGAGACAATGAGGCAGTCAGTGAGGCCAGCAGGACACGGAATGCCAGACACACACAAGGGCAGCAGCAGCCCCAGCACAAAGCCTGCCAAGACAACAAAGGCAGGAAAGAGGAGCCATGTCAGCATTACAAAGCCACAAAACACTGATACATTTTTCCTTTCCTTCTTTTTTTTTTTCTTTTTTTTTCTGAATTACAACTTTTCACCACGCTTTTTGTTTAAAAGAAACAGTACATAATGAAAGTTTTCTTCTTGGCCATTTTAAATCACAAATTTACACTAATCCAAGTTTTCCTAACAGAGCATGACTCGTCTGGCAGACACGTGCCCTGGTGGGTGGCCCCCAGCCACAGGGCGTGTCTCTGAGCAGGCCTGTACCCTCACAGCCACTTCTGGAACCCACTGACTCTGGGTTCCTGAGTGACTTGGCCAACTGAGGGGCCAGGCTGACGTTTCTTTACTTGAAATAAACATTAAGTCAAAACCTCTACCAGCAAACTCACCCTGAAGAACTCGGCTCACTCCCTGACGTGCTGGCCAAGGAAAACTAAGCATAAGAACCTCAAGGCGGTCGACCAGGAAATCCACTCTAACCGTCATTACGTCTGCTGCACTGGGCACAGTCCTTGAAGCTTTCCTTTACAATACTGTCAACTGTGAATTCTGAAAAGTAACAAGAATGCTAACCAATAAATATTGCTAAAAAGATGATGCTTGTTGGTTCTGCACTTTCTCAGCTGTCATGTCCCAGCTCCTCCATGTGGACTTCATCAGGAAACTATTCTCCCAGTTCACAGCCGCTCTCACAGCACAAAAGCAGAGCAGACAGGGTCTTTCACATGAGAACCTATAAAGGACGTCAGCTAAGAGACAAATAATTCATGGAAACGTTCAGAGACTACAAAGGACCAGCAGCACATGCGGCAACTGCCCACCTGGAGATGCTCATGGTTCAGACAGTAAGCGCAAGGACTGAGGCAAGAATCTGATGATTAAAGGGACCTTCCTTGAACCTACCCACACTGTTCAGGGGTCCTCAGGAGCAACCCCAAATCGTGAGCCCACTTTGCACACAACAACCTTCATTTCTTAGGAGCCGGCCCTACTTTAGCCCTCTTCCTCAGTTTACTGAGTCACGCCTATCCTGACCGTTCCTCTACCTGTGACTCGGTTTCTAGACCTCCCCCCCCAGCCTGGCTAAGCTCTTGGGCTGACCCATGCCCGGCTGCCATGATTCTATGAACGCAAACTAAGATCACACCGATGTTTCTAGGAGCTGTGACAGATGGCTGATCTGTGGTCATAAAGCTCCAATTAGTCATTACCTTTATCATGTCGAAAACATCTCATCATACATATTTTAAATGTCCTAACACATTATAAAAAACAACTTTGAACATATTTTGTTGCTGGTTCTATTTGGGAGTATGATGGGAAACATTCAAGCTCATGACTCACAGAAAATTTTAAGGGATCATTTTTTTAAATCTTTCACCATTCTTACCCTCCTCAATCTCCTATGAAAAGAATATTATTTTTTTATTGGTTGTACAGCTTTTTAATTAAAATGTCATTGAATATTTTTAGATTTTTATTATTGATCATTTACTTACTGTAGAAATGTTCCCAAACACCAAAAGGAAAGAAAGATTATGCACCCAACGTCAACCATCACCAGTATTTGCCATCTTCTCTCCTCCCACCTGTGCTCATTACCTCCCCACAGAGGTTTTAAAGTAAATCCCAGCACCTGCTCACTCCATCTTGCCCTGAAATGCACACTATCATTACTGCCCGCTGTGCTATATTACCTAGCTCACTATTCCAGTTTTCAACATAAACATAGGTCAAGTGCAATTCTGTCCCACCCATGTCTGCTCCAGACACTCATGTTCCTCCCTGTATGCATGTGCCCTGACCAGGAATCGAACCAGCAATCTTTCGGTGCCCAGGACCACATCCAACTAACTGAACCACACCAGCGAGGGCCATGCCCACTTTTATTTTACACACAGCATATGGGGTTTCCCTTCCCAATCATAATTTTAGAGAACCTACTGTTAGACTAATCATTTGACTTTAATGTTCATTAAACTTTACACCATGACGTAGTACTACTGTTTAATACATGATATGAGGTATTTTGTTCACTTTTAAAGAAAGTAAGAATTAGCTGGCAAGTGCTGTAACTGGTTTTAGGGAGTGGCAGATTTTAGGAAACTTTCTATGATATATAAACTAAAAAAAAATCCCTACAACATGCTAGAAATTTGGAGATTTATAAAGATGGGAAAATACCAAGTAATCATTAAGAGACAGGATCCCCAGAGTAGCAAGCCATCTTTATGCAGTGCCGAAAACCCTTCCATAAGTCAGAGTGATGTTAAATATAAACACCGACTAAAAAGTAGTCTACAGATTAGTATCTGATGAGTTGCCAAAAACACTTCAGTCAGGTAATATCGAGAATCGTATAAATACTAGTGAAGGGCTGGGGGGCGGGGCGTAAGAAATGTCCAGAGGGTTCAGGAAGAAGAGAGAAGGAAGGCACGCACACTTCTTATCAGACCACTGCAGACCTAATTAAGCCTTCCAGTGGACTCTCACACCACAAACCCTACCCTAATTTCCCACCGAAGATTGATGTGCAATTTCAGCACACTGACACACTGAAACATGCTTTAGTAACAAAAACAGGCAACAAAAACAGAAGTGTGTTTTGTTCTGGTTTTTAAATCAGGCATTAAAAAGGCACTATGCGTCCAAACTTACATCAGAACCCACAGCTCTCACAGTACTCTGTAGGACAGGTTTAGCCACAGAAAGTTTTCCATTCACTGGGCTACTGGCCACAGAGGCTGGTACCACACTGACCACGTGATTAGCAAGCGGTGCAGCTCCCCCGGCGACTGCCAGGACAGGCTGGGGAGAGGGCAGGACTCCGGGCGCCTGCAGCTGTACCACAGCAGGCTGAGACAGCACCACAGTCTGACCTGGTGGAGAGAAAAGACAGGGGTCAGAGTGTGCACCACTTTGTGGCAGAAAGAGCTGTTCAACATGGAGATGCGGTCTGCAGGTAGATCAACAGACAAGATCACAATGAGGGAGGTGAAACCACCGATCGAGCACTGGCAACAGTAGCACACACATGGTGACGTTCCCTGCCCAGTTTTAATAAGCCCAATCAGATTCGTTCCCTTTCATGTTACCGTTAACAGTATAATTCCATGTTTTTTTTCCTCAACTGCACACATATCCAATCTGCTAAGTTATACATAAATTTCCCTAAGCACTAACCTCTGAAATGTACTAGTGCTAAAAGGATTTTTCATATCATAAATTTAAAAAATAACAAACCTTTTATACTGACACAGAGTACCATATATTTCAAATTAATGGGATTTAGAAATACACCACCAAAAACTATATATACATAAACAGAGATTCATTAACTCAATGCTTGGAACAGCACAGGGCTACAAATATCAAAACTGTTAAGATTCCTGAAAGATGACGGCGGACGGAGTGGAAGCTACACTAACACTCTCCCAAGACCAAACTGGAATTACAACTAAAATATAGAAAAACCATCCTGAATAATCAACTGCAACTGAAGACGAGCTGGAGAGCACTCTCATAAACAAGGAGGAAAAGAGGAGACCACATAGAGACACGTAGGAAGTGCGGAGGCAAGAGGGCTGGCTGAGCTCCCACAGATAGCAGCTGAAGGTCCTGAGGGAGATCTCAGCTGTGGGGGTTTCCACTGAGGACTCTGGGGCCTAAACACCAGGCTGGGCTTCCCAGCCAAGAGCACCAAACTGAGAAAGGTGCCCACATAACATCTGGCTGTGAAAAGCTGCAGGGTTTCTGTCTGCCAGGGAGAAATGGCTAGAAATGCAGGCACCCTCTTAAAGAGCCAATGCACTAAGTTTCGTGTGCAGCCACTCACCTTGGGTTCCAGCAGAGGGAGGTTAGAGTAGACTGGAGCTGAGTGAGGAGAACCTAGGGTTGTGGGATCTGGAGAGAGAGCTCAGGGGGCACCCCTCTGGATTCCTGTGCCAAGTCATTCCCCCATACTGCAGAGGACATCTTTCATAGGCAGACATTTACCTTCTAAGCAGCATTTGCCTGAGGAGGAAGCAATTGCCCCACCCTGCTGGAAAACCTCTTGCCCTATTCCAGTGTTTCTACAACCTGAGGCTCATTAAGAAAATCGGACTAATCATCCTGCAAGCAGAGGCAGACTTCAGAGTGCTTTGAGTCTTTGCCTGATCTGCTTCTGGACTCCGGCCTTGGAAAAGCAGAATTTGGTGTGTATCTTGGTCCTGTCCAAATGTATCCAGCTCCAACAGAGGGGACTTCAAGCCGTGGGTTGTTGACAGCTCCAAACAGGGTACTCAAGGCCAGTCACAAACAGTATCTGACACTGGCCTGCACCAGAGACCGTCCAACAACACTGAGAGTTGTAGAAGATCTACCTAATACATAGAAACAAACCAAATAGGCAGCCAAAATGGGGAGACAAAAAACAAACCCCAAATGAAAGAACAAGAAAAAGCAGCTGATCAATGACTCTCTCATCATTTTTGTTTCTCTCTCTCTCTCTCCCTCTCCTTCCTCTCTCTGAAATCAATAAAGGTTGTTTTTTTTAAAAAAGAATACATTGGGCCGAGCCGGGTGTGGCTCAGTGGTTGAGCGTCGACCTAGGATCCAGGTGATTGGGGTTCGATTCCCTTCAGGGCACACGCCCGGGTTGTGGGCTCGATCAATGACTCTCATCATTGATGTTTCTATCTCTCTCTGTCCCTCTCCTTTCCTCGCTCTAAAATCAATAAAGATATATTTTTTTAGCCTAGCCGGGTGTGGCTCAGCGGTTGAGCATCGACCTAGGATCCAGGCGATCAGGGTTTGATTCCCGGTCAGGGCACATGCCCGGGTTGCGGGCTGCAGTCAATCCATGACTCACCATTGATGTTTCTACCTCTCGTTCTCCCTCTCCTTTCCTCTCTCTGAAATCAATAAACATATATTTAAAAAAAAAAAAAAAAGAGATATTTTTTTAAAAATAAAAAAAAATAAGTTAAAGAATACATTGGAAGGAATAAACAGCAGATCAGAGGAAGCTGAAGATTGGATCAGTGAATTAGAAGACAGGGTAGAAAAAAAATCACTCAATCAGTGATCCAAAAAGAAAAACAATTGAAAACCGGGAGGACAGTCTAAGGGAGCTGAGGGAAAACATGAAATGAAACAATATTCACATCATAGGAGTGCCAGAAGATCTAGAAAGTAAGCAAGGGTTAGAGATTCTGTTTCAATAAATAATGTTAGAAAATTTCCCTAACCTGGGGAAGGAAAAAGTCAAACAGGTTCAGGAGGCACAGAGAGTCCCAAGCAAAAAGAATCCACAGAGGCCCATGCCCAGACGCCTCATAATTAAAATGCCAAAAATTCAAGACAAAGAGAGAATCTGAAAGGCAGCAAGAGAAAAGTAATCTGTCACCTACAAAGGAGCTCCCATAAGGCTGTCAGCTGACTTCTCATCAAAAACTCTACAGGCCAGTGGGAATGGCATGAAGTGTTCAAGGTAATGCAAAACACGGATTNTCCTTCCTCTCTCTGAAATCAATAAAGGTTGTTTTTTTTAAAAAAGAATACATTGGGCCGANAAGGCTATCATTCAAGATAGATGGTGAAATAAAGAGCTTCCCAGATTAAAAAAAAAGGCTAAGGGAGTTTATCACCACCAAACCAGCATGGCAGGGAACGAGAATTAAAAACAGCCTGGCTGGGCATGGCTCAGCGGCTGAGAATCAACCTAGGACCCAAGAGATCATGGTTCGATTCCCAGTCAGGGCACATGCCTGGGTTGCGGGCTCAATCCCCAGTGGGGGGCATGCAAGAGGCAGCCCATCAATGACGACTGTCTCATTATTGATGTTTCTATCTCCTCCTCTCCCTCTCCCTTCCTCTCTCTGAAATCAATATAATTAAAAATTAAAATTTAAAAAAAAAAAAGTCAGTGAGCTTACAATCTAATGGTGAAAACAGAAAAATAGTCAAATTAAAAAAAAAGAAAAAAAAACAGNGTTTGATTCCCGGTCAGGGCACATGCCCGGGTTGCGGGCTGCAGTCAATCCATGACTCACCATTGATGTTTCTACCTCTCGTNATTTAAAAAAAAAAAAGTCAGTGAGCTTACAATCTAATGGTGAAAACAGAAAAATAGTCAAATTAAAAAAAAAGAAAAAAAAACAGAGAGAAACATAAGCATAAAGAATTAAAATGGCAATAAATAAGGGCCTATCAATAATAACCTTAAGGACTTTGAGAGATCAACAGCAATACAGTCATAGTAATGGAATTTAACACCCCACTGACTTGACTCCACTGGATAGATCCTCCAGACAAAAAATAAACACAGAAACAGTGACTAAATGACATACTAGATCAGATTTAACTGATATCTACAGAACATTTCATCCCCAAGCTGCAGAATATACATTCCTCTCAAGTGCACATGGGTCATTCTCAAAGATAGACCACATGTTAGAACAAAAACAAGTCTCTACAAGTTCAAGAAGATTGAAATCATATCAAACATCTCAGATCACAAGGGCATGAAATTAGAAATCAACTACAGTAAAAACACTCAAAAACATTCTAACACAAGGAGGCTAAATAGCATGTTATTAAACAATGAATGGGTTACCAGTAAGATCAAGAAAGAAATCAGAAACTTCCTGGAAACAAATGAAAATGAACACACAACAACCCAAAATCTATGGGACACAGGGAAAGCAGTCCTAAGAGGGAAGTTCACAGCACTGCAGGTCTACCTCAAAAAGCAGGAAAAATTTCTAGTAAACTACCTAACCCTACAACTGAAAGAATTAGAAAACTCCCCTGTGAGGCCGCCTGGACCAGGGCTTTTGTTTGCTGGGAGAGTTTTTATTATTGCTTCGATTTCATCAGTTGTACTGGTCTATTCACGTTTTCTGATTCTTCCTGATTCAGTTTTACATGATCTCACTCAAATGCGGAATCTAATAAAATAGACTGAGGAACAAAATAAATCCAGAGACACAGAAGCATGGAACAGACTGAGGGATCTCAGAGGGAAGGCGGGGATGGGGGAGTGGGTGGGGAGAGAGTGATCAAAGAACTTATATGCATATAGAATAACCCATGGACAAAGACAATAGTGCAGTGAAGGCCTGGGGGGAGGCGAATGTGGGGTGGAGGGGAGTGGTAGGGAAAAAAGGAGGGATATCTGTAAT